ACCTTTACTTTGCACCAGGCATGGTCACAGAGTTTTGCATTATTAAGAATAAAGAAATTGAGATGTTCCATCACTAAAACGTCACTGCTTTTAACATTGGGTGAGCACTTAGGTCTCTCTCTATATATATATGAGTTAATTATTTTTTATTTTATTTTCACTTCTATATCACAATTTGAATTTAAAATTTTTTATTTTTAATAAAAAAATAATTATTTAATTATTTAAATCATTAATAATACTTGCTCTTGAACAACAAAGAAAAATGGTATTGGTCTTCTTTTTTTAATAGTTTAAAGGTAATTTTTATGTATAATTATTAAGAATAAAGAAATTCAGATGTGCCATCACTAAAAAGTCACGGCTTTTAGCTTTGAGTGAGCGCTGAACGTGTATTTCGTTTAATTTATCAGATATTTTTTATATATTGTGTAAAAGTGATAAATTTAAATTTTTATTAAAAAAAATTTTAAAGTTATTTTTAAAGATAAAAAAATAAATAAAAAGGAAGTAAAAATCAAATTTATGAAAAATAAAAATTTAAAAATTTAAAATTTTTATTGTTTATAGTGTTTTTAAGGTTAAAAAAATTTAAAAATATAAGTTTTCAAGAATAAAATTTAAACTTATAAAATATAAATTGTATAAAAAAGCTTAAGCTTCAAAAAACTAATACAAACATGCTCTTAGTGTTGAACAACAAAGAAGAATGGCCTTTTCTTTTTTTTAATAGTTTAAAGGTAATTTTTATGTATAATTTTTAATATAATTTTATGTGTTATTTAATAATTATTTTATATTTTATTAAAATATTTAATATTATATTTTAATTTATTTAATAATATAAAAAAAGTTATATATAATAGTTATACAAATAAATTATCTATTATATTATTTTTGAGTTTTTTAATCATCAATTTTTTTGTTTGTTTGTTAGTTAAGCTTTGCTATATATTACGAATATGACAGGGATGTTATGCCTATGGTTGAGAAGATTATTTGTTTTTAATAGATATGACCAAAAAGAAGAAGAAGATATTTTTAAGTAAATTAGGAAATGGTCAGCTTTTCATTCCATAAAAGCAAAACTATTTCAACATCAAATGCTTTGATATATTGTTTATGAAATTATAAAAATATTTGATATTATTACATGGAAATATAATTATAATAACTTTTTCTTTAGTATTTAACCAACATCAGTTCCAAATATACGTGGTAAGTAG